TTCATAATAATGCAAGTGTGTAAAACATAACATTTTTTCAACTTTTAAAATATTTTTAAATAAATCAAATTTGATATTTTATTAGTCGGATTTAATCACTGAGCAGTTTGTGGTGTTTGTTGTCTCAACAACTGGTCAAGGTGAACCACCAAAAAATATGAAGGTTTATTGTATGTAGATTTCAATGTTTTTCAGATTATGGGATGCATATGTGTTTTAAATGTAACGGACTTTACTTAGATGTTGTGTGATTGTTTGTTAATGTGGATGTTGTGTGATTGTTTGTTGATGCGGATGTTGTGTGACTGTTTGTTGATGCGGATGTTGTGTGATTGTATGTTGATGCGGATGTTGTGTGATTGTTTGTTGATGTTTTGCCAGGACTTTTAAAATTTTATTGTATGTTTATACTTTCACACTTTTTAATAATTTTTATATTTTCAAAAATAATATTGCAGAACTTTTGGAAATTCATTTGGAGGAAAGTGTTGCCAGCTGATTGTTTAGTTAATGTTCTCTATGTTGTAATTGCTTTAGGAGATTCTTCGTACCAAAAGTGAATCATTATAATAATTAATTAGTGAATTACTTGATTGATTAATTAATTAATTAAGGTTATTAAGATTGCTTAGCTAATGTTTACTAACTTTAGTTGTTTAAATAGAACTCAGGCATGCCTTTGTTTTCTTCCATATTCAAGCTTTTATTTTTTGTCTTCCTCTTTTGCATCTTTTACTTTTTTTTAGATGTTTTGAAAGTAATTTATTTCAACCTTTTTTAATACATCTGACAGAATTTTCATTACTCATTTTTATTTACGGAATTTTAAAACTTGTTTGAATTGAGCTTTTTTTGTATCAGTTCTTTATGTTTTTATTTAAGTATTTATTTTAATTATTGCATCAATAAATAGGAAATTTGTAAGATTATTTGGTTTTAGTGTGCCATATTTTTTAGACATGAAAAATTTTACGAATGTATGTGAATCAACAACTTTCAATGGAATACATATTCCGGAGAGGTGATTAAAATATTAAATTTTTCATCTCATTAAATGCGGCACGACATATTTTTCTGTTTTTCTTCCCAATCTATTCATCAAAGTGAAAAATAGTAGATGGAAAGAATTTGCGGACCTTGAGCTTCAGATATCAATCATGGAGGCAGCCACTTGTGCACCACTATTAAGGCCAAGTTGTCTGAAACTTTCTATAATTTTCATCTTCATCAGCCTATTTTTTGAATTGAACTATAATGACCAATGTAAACACAATGTTGATGAAATCATGCTTTTATGTTGACCTGGTCTGTTGGTCCCATTTCTGTCTTTACCTCCATTCTTTATTATGCATACATGTACTGTACATCTAATTACTTTACTCTAGGCTGGCTACAAACCGATATTTTTGAAGTTTTATTGCATGCATATTTATATATAACTCCATTTGATATATTATACCGCCATTTACGCTTTTATTAGAAATTTGCCATAATTTATATATAAAAAATTCCACAAAATGATTTTGAAGATACAACATGGTGGGCAAGAAGCTGTACAGGAGACTGAAGCAGCTTGGGGCTACTGCATTCATGGGTTGTTGCTTGGGGGACGACCAGCACCCTCACGGGTTTTTCTTTCTTTTTTTCAATGTTTTATTGTAAAATGTTAATTTTTGAAGAACTTTTCAAAAATTTGTATGTTAAATTAAATTTTGATCTGCACGTCATTCTTCAAAGTTAATTTCTTTATAGTCAGATTAAGGTTCTCAGTTTGTATAAATAATTTAATTCGCGTCTGTAATCAAAGTTATTTGTTTGATTTGAGTTCAAGTTGAAGATTTTCAAAGTAAATTATTGATAAAAAAGACAATAGAATGTTGCCTAGCTTAACTTTGCTAAGTTTATACTTTGTTTTGAATGAAAAACATTTATTCACATATGCATTTATCATTTAAATATATAGAATGTAAAAAGCCATTTCCCTTCATGTACTTTTGACAACACTAATGTAGATAGAGGATAATATAAATAGTCTAACATTTTTCAATGCTCTTTCATATTGTTTTTTAAACAAATGTGTGTATGCATCAACTCCAAACAAAAGGTAGAGTGATTCATTAAATTACTTGGAACAGTTATAATGGAACATTGGATCCGTGGCTGACTAACTTTTGGTCAGAGTATTTGAAAAGATTTCCGATGAAGGAGGGTTTGGACATCATTGCAAACAGTGTGTTGTTAGTTTTGTCCCTGCAATGATTTGTATCAACGTCTTATCAACGCTGTAATGATTATATCATGCTGAGTTTATTTTTTAGAGCATTTATTCCTCGTGTTTCATTGTTTCTAAATTAGCAAGTACGACATTTTAAAAAATATAAAATACGTATCATTCAAATTAATTTTTTTGCAAGACTACCCACGAGATTTCAGTTGAAATTTGTTAGCAGTCCAACGAAACATCAAATGATTTGCAACAAGTTTGAAAATAATTTATCTTTGAAAGAAACACCAACAGTACCACCTGTGTCATCATTACAAACATCACCAGCCATGCCAACAACATTATCAATACCGCAACGCAATTCCGGACCAGCACAACATGAAGAGCAAGGCATGCCCGAGATGAATCGTGGAATGTTTTTTGCTCTGGTTAAATCAAATTTTCGCCTTACCTCTCCTGACCACTGGCAAGATGTTCGGTTGATCACATTGCAGTCAATTCATGCAGAGTTTAAGTCAGTTTTTTGGCAATCTTTATTGTTTGTTTGAAACGACGTCTGATGATAAATTTATAATCGCTATTTAATTCATTGATTAGCCTATTCCGTATTTTTATGTTTATTTTTTGTTCATTGAGAGAAGATTAACGTCGTGCATCACAATCGGAAATTATCAATTTGGTTTTCTAGCGGGGAAATCAACAATTGATGCAATTCACATCCTTCGGCAACTGCAAGAGAAGTACCTCGCAAAGCATTCACATCTATCACACATTTTTGTAGACCTTGAAAAAGCATTTGATCGAGTTCCCCGTGAAGCAATCAGGTGGAGTTTACGTCGACAACTCATTCCAGAATATCTTGTTCGACTTGTGATGGAAATGGATACGAATACTAAGACTCTTGTCAGCACAACGGTTGGAAACACAGATGCATTTGACATCGGCGTTGGAGTTCACCAAGGCTCGATTCTCAGTTCACTGTTATTTATAACTGTGATGGAAGAAATCACAAAACCGATACGCTCTGGTGACATTTGGAATCTAGTATATGCTGATGATATCGTTTTAACAGCCACGTCTGAGCAGAAAGCAGCACAGATGTTTGAAGATTGGAACACCAGACACGCTTATCATGGATTCAAAGTCAACATCAGCAAAACCAGAGCAATGAACACTGGTGAACACATCCAATCCACAGCTACTGGACGATGGCCCTGTTCAGTTTGTAAAGCTGGTGTAGGTAACAATTCGATCAAGTGTCAGCAGTGTAACCAGTGGTGTCACAAACGTTTGTTCAAAAATAATTGGCACTTTATCTAAATTGTCCACTTTTGTTTGCTCTGCTTGCATCAATCCACAACAACAAATTCGAAATAGCACTGTTTTTGAAGCCATTAAGGTAGAGAAAGTCACATCGTTTCAATATCTAGGAGATGTTCTGGATTGTACTGGAACAGCTGAAGCTGCCGTTCGAGCGTTCGAGCACGCATACGTGCAGCCTGAAATAAATGGCATCTCCTTGCCTCTATATTGATGCGGCGTGACATCCCACTACAACTACGATCAAGACTTTATAAATCTATGATACGTCCGGTGTTGTTATATGGTGCAGAAACATGGCCAATGACAACCAAACTGGAACAGCAACTTCAACGAACCGAGATGAAAATGCTTCGATGGATGCAACGAATTAGTCTGAAGGACCACAACAAATCTACCGAAATCCTGCGTCGTGCTGGTTTAGATGATATAAAGGACGAATGCCGGCAACACCGTCTGCGGTGGTTTGGTCATGTCAAACGAAGTGGAAACAGTGCCATAACTTATCTTGCAGATGTTGAGGTACCTGGCACACGTCCCAAAGGCCGTCCAAAGAAGTCCTTGTCGCAAACAATCGAGCAAGACATGAAAGCTCTAAATTTAAATTAAATGGATAGAACTGATCGTCTAATTTGGCGCAAAAAGTTGATGGCAAAGAAAACAACGTCCTACCTCGGGAAACCGGGTCTCTGGACTCAAAACGAAGATTGATTGATTTAAAGTTGAGCAAATGTATTTTATAAATTGTTTCCATAATTTATATTACTAATGATTTGGACGAGTCTTCCCTCGAGTGTGCTAATAAATTTAGTGCTATTGCTTTAAATATAATATCCACTGAATTATTGTTTTAATTATTATTATTTAATTATTATTATTTAATTATTATTTTGTGTTATTATGAGGAGACGTTGAGAACATCAAATTGTGGAATCTATGCTAGTTTATGAACAGATTCTGGAAAGTTCCAATTTTTACTAGTGCATTTTAGAGGAAGTTGCGCAAAATGCTTAAGTTACGTTTGTTTTAAAATATAGTCTTGAGATGAAATTTTAAAAATTATGTATAAATTTTGCATTGTGGGTGTATAGAAAATAAAACATGAATCTTGAAAAGTGAAACTAAATCGAAATTATTTGTCACAATAAAAATTTTACAGTGATACAAGTGCCCAACAATGAATTAAAATGTTCTCAGTATGAAGCTGTTTATCACCTTGAATGCGGTGAATACGGCAATGGGCTGTTTGAAGGTGCTTTCGAATGTCAAATTATTAACTAATGTCAGGTCAATTGAAATGCTTGCTGCGTTTAAACAACAACAACAACACACGTTTAGACGGCATTTTTCCCGATATCGGGGGTTGCCGTTTGGCTACCTATGATGAAACCGAAATACCCCTCGACGCTATCCACATCTGTCACTCGCCTCAGTATCACGCAACCCTGCTTTCACCCTGTCCTTCTCCACCTGCTCTCTCCATCCCAATCGCGGACGACCCCTTCCTACCACTCCTTCAACCTCGAACTCCAACGCTCGCCTAATCCCGACCCTTTCATTCCTTCTCAACACATGTCCATACCACCGCAATCTCGATCTCCTTATCAATGTCACAATGTCCTCATTCAGTCCCATCATTGATATCAGCTCTGTACTACTCCTCCTATCCTTCACTTTTACCCCACACATCATCCTCACCATA